TCTAACAAATAAAAATACTTCCCAAATTAATTTTACACAGAACAACATTGAGCATTTTAGTTTATCATGATTTTAGTAAAACTCGGATTCAAGAAAGAACCTACCTTGAGAAAGGGCCAGTCAGGGTGGAGGACAACCGAGAGAGACGCTGGAGGACGGAGGGAAAGGGCTGGTCAGACGAAGGACGGTGGACGAAGCTTGGACGACGACGGAAGAAGCTTGGACAATGACGATTTGTGAGAGGGAAAGGGTTTTCGTTCGTGAGTCTGAGAAGGAAAGGGTTTTTGTTTGTGAGTCTGAGAGGGAAACGAGTATGTTAAAAGAGAAACAATACTGATTCTATTTTTTAATTTTAAATTATATGCCTTTAGACAACGCTTTTTAGAAGCGCTGACTAATATGGGCCTTTAGCAGCGCTTTTGAAAAGCGCTGACTAATGTGATCCTTTAGCAGCGCTTTTGAGATTGTTTTTTAAATTTTATATGACTTTAGACATCACTTTTTAAAAGTGTTGTCTAAAGTGGTCCTTTACCAGCGCTTTTGATAAAGCGCTTTCTAAAGCAACACTTTTAGCAGCGCTTTTTAAAAGCGCTGTCTAAGGTCACATTTTTAGCAGCGCTTTTATTTATTATTGTATACAGTTTTCATGTTTTTTTAAATTCACTTATAGCAGCGCTTTTGTATAAAAGCGCTGTCTAATGTGCGCTGTTAAAAGCCCTTTTTGGCGTAGTGAATGTGTTGGTCATTTTGGTGTCGTGACATCGTATATGACATTTGTCTTGTTGTGCCCAAATTTCAATTGGTATCAGAGCAGACACCCTATTTTGTGTTTGGGTAAGCTTCGAGGAAGATATTTTCTAGAACTATGGAAAAGGATTGGGGAAATACTAATAGACCACCTATTATGGATGACACCAATTATGACTACTAGAAAGCACGTATGGTGGCCTTTCTAAAACATATGGATAATAAAACTTGGAAAACTGTCATCAAGGGTTGGAAACATCCTATCTTGATAGACAAAGATAGAAAGGACACCACTGAATTAAAACCAGAAGAGAACTGATCTAAGGAAGAGAATTAACTTGCTCTTGGTAACTTCAAATCTTTGAATGCCTTATTCAATGATGTTGATAAAAATATATCCAGGTTGATAAATACTTGCACTATGGCCAAAGATGCATGGGAAATTCTCAGAACCACTCACGAAGGCACATCAAAAGTTAAAATGTCAAGACTTTAACTTCTCACCGCCAAATTTAAGAATCTCAGGATGAAGGATGATGAGTGCATTCATGACTTTCACATGAGTATTCTTGATATTGCCAATTCAGCTAGTGCTTTGGAAGAGAAGTTGTCAGAAGATAAGCTGGTTAGAAAAATTCTTATGTCATTGCCTAGGAAGTTTGACACGAAGGTCACAACTATTGAAAAAGCCCAAGATATTTGAAACATGAAACTGGAAGAGCTGTTTGTGTCACTCCAAACTTTTGAACTGGTTATGAATGATAAATCAGAAAAGAAGAACAAAAGCATAACTTTTATCTCCAACAGTGATGATAAATAAGATCGATATAATATGGAGACTGATGAGGGTATTTATAATGCCATTATGCTTATTGGGAGGCAATTAAATAGGACACTAAAGAGAATTGATAGGAAGTTAATACCAAATGTCAAGAACATGTCATTTGACATTAGTAAGAACAACGAGTTTCAAAGGAAGACAAAAGCATAAGAGAAGCCTAATCAAGGTAAATGGATTCATTGTTATGAATGTGAAGGTTTTGGTCACATTAAGTCAGAATGTCCAACTTACCTCAAGAAACAAAAGAAGGGTTTTTTTATGTCTTGGTCTAATAATGATGAATCTGAAGATGAACCCGATGTTGAAATTGCTAAGTATGTTACTGTTCTTATTGGCAAATGGGGTTTCGATGAAGAATCTTGTGATGAGAATGTCCTTTATGAAGAACTGAATGTGTCTTACAAGGAGCCATGAGTCAGATGTGAATAAAGTTGTAAGACATAAGAAAAACAAAAGAGAATCATAACTCAACTGGAGAATGAAAATGAGAAACTAGTATCTATTATCTTTGATCTTTAAAATGAGGTAACTTTGTTAAATTCCAAACTTGAAAACATGACCAAATCCATAATAAGGATGAACAGTGGAGCTAATATATTGGAATGGGTTGGAAACTCAACAAATATAGGGTTTAATTATCAATCTCCTAAACATGTCCCCGTGGATAGGTTCATCTCCTCTGTAAGGAAGAAAGTGATCACCATGTCCAACCAAATGTTACAACATCCTGAAACGATTTTTTGTTATAGGTTGTATGGGGTTCAAAAACTTCCAACTCATTCTAGGGCTAATCATATGAGGATGAAAACTAATAAGAAAAGGAAATCTAAAGGTGGTGATGTTAATCTTATATCTCATACTTATTTGAGAGCTTCATCTATAGAATATTGATACTTTGGTAGTGGATGTTATAAACACAAAAATATTTGGTGGATATCAGATCTTATTCCACCAGTTTTGTCACATTTGGTAATGGAGCTAAATGTGAAATTAAGGGAGTAGGAAAGTTAGTTTGTACTGGACTTCCTAGCTTAGAAGGTGTTCTTCTTGTGAAAGGACTAACTCCCAATCTTATTAGGATTAGTCAGTTATATGATCAAGGCTTGAAAGTCAACTTTACAAAATCATAATGTTTGGTCACAAATGAAAAGGACGGTGTTATGATGAATGAAGTTAGGTCTAAGGACAATTTTTATTTATGGGTACCTCAAGAATCTACCTACTATTCCACATGTTAATAACTAAAGAATATGAAGTCAAATTGTGGACCAGAAGATCGGACATTTAAATCTCAAAGGTATGAAGAAAATTATATCTAGAGAAGCTATTAGAAGCCTACCAAAGCTCAAAACTGAGGAGGGTAAGGTATGTGGTGAATGTAAGATTGGAAAGCAAATCAAGATATCACACCCAAAGTTACAACATCATACTACTTTCAAAGGGCTAGAACTTCTTCACATGGATTTGATGGGACCAATGCAGGTTGAAAGTCTTGGTGGAAAGAGATATGTCTATATGGTTGTTGATGACTTTTTAAAGTTTACTTGGGTGAACTTTACCAAAGAAAACCAGACACGTTTGAAGAACTGAATGTGTCTTACAATGGATATGGTAGCGTTAAAGGAGATTGTGGTTGAGAAAGTGGCTTCATAAGAGAATATAAAGAACATGTTTACCAAAGCATTGCTTAGATCAAGGTTCAAACACTGCTTGGTCTTATTCAAGTTTGTTGAAAAGTGATTCAAGCTAAAAAATAACACAAAGTGTTTGGCGGATAAATTGACATTACTGTTATTTTTGAGTAAAGGTGGATATTTGTGGAAGTATGTTTAAAAATGGGGTTTTAGAGCTTTCAACCATTGTGAGGAACACGAGTCACATTTTCTCAATTTTAGGGCCTAACATAAATACTTTTCTATTGCTTTTTGTTGTAAGTGTGTTATTATAGAGAAATAAGCAACAATGGTTCCCAAGATTCATCATTCTATAGATTGAGTTCATCTCTAGTTGTTATCTAAAATTTGAGAAACACTACTAAACACTTTAAAATTACGTGTGATTTATGTATTAAAAGAGGGATAAATTGAATACAAATTTAGGTAGAAAATAGAAGTCATCCTTATAAATTGAAGACATACTTTTTTATAATATCTTATTGAAGACTTATGATTGATAGTAATTAAAGAATCGTTCTTTTATACAAAAATATCAATTTAGATTTAACTATACTAATAATTTTTGTGCGTTCGTGTTCTCTATCTTCTTCTTGACAACGTAGTTTTACTTACATTAAGTGATCTATTTGTTTTGCTTTGCCATCATTGTTGTTTGTCATATACATCAAATTATTGATATTGATGTGTTCAACTTCCTTCTATTTTACAATATAATACATAAAAGCATAAAACAACATTTGAAATAAAATGTGCATAGTTTCATAAGAAACCATGTAATCATAGTCTATAAAACCCATATCAAATTCCTTACAAAATAACAATGCTCTAATTAATTAAACATATTATAATTGTATAATTTAATAAAAAGTTTTCAAGCCATATAAGTATTACATATGTAAAAAAAATCTAATTTGGACTCATATATCATCTTTTCATCCTAAATTTATCTATTAAATAATATGAATCGATAGTATTTCCTCAACAACTGGTCAACTTAAAAGTGATAGTAATAGAGTGAGAGATAGTAGTAAGAAGGAAAGTTGATATTTTTCTCCACTTTTGCTTGTTACCCAGTCAGATATATATATTTTTTTTTGGTAAAAAACGAAAAAAAAAACCTCTACTTTTTGGCGCTTTTCCCCCCTCATTCCCTCCACGTCGACCGAATAACATTGCGCTAAAATTCTCACCCGAAGCGCACGGCTTATCCTTCACACCCCAAAACACGCTATAGAAAAAAAGAAACAGACAGAATCAACTTCAACCTTGCTCTACTCCAATTCTACTGAACTCTCTCTGTGGTACGTTTTCTTCCTCTCTTCAACTATACTCAGAGATCAATTCCCATCAATTCTTCACCTGTTCATGCTTTTCCCTCGTAATTTCTCTGTACTGTTTTCCCCCTCACTTTCAATCAACAAATTCTGAAATTCTGAAACCCTAAAACCATCTCTGAAACGATTTTTACTTTGATTTTTCGTTCAGCTACTTGATTTCGACGCTAATAAGTAGAATATCACTTCGTTCCGTTGTTTCGAGCATGATCTTTCATAGCTGTGATGTGTTTCGAAGTCTATTGTGAACTTTGATGTTATATTTTTCTTCTGTTTTTGCATATACACTGCTGCTGTTGTTCGATAATGCTTGTGTAAAATTCTGGAGTGTTTTTCTTATATGATTATGCTTATAGAAGTTTATTTATTGGCTCTTGTAGGTTTGGTTATGATAGTTTCATCATGTTCATTAAGCAGGTAATTGTGGTTTGATACATTTATTTATTTTCAGCATTTCAAGTTTCTTCTTCTTAGATATGCTTTATGTTGTTGCTTTATGGAGTTCGTTTCTTGTTAAATGGACTTCTGATGTGCTTGTATTTGTATAATTTCTTAAGGTTGTGATTGAAGGTTTCAAGAGTTATCGGGAGCAAATTGCCACTGAGGATTTCAGTCCTAAAGTTAATTGTGTTGGTAATAATAAAAGCTTTTACACAATTTCTTCTTTTGATTCTGCATAATCCTTTGAAACGCATGATGTAGGCATTTCATCTATGACATGTCATGATGGCTGCTCAATAAAGTGTGAAGTTGATACAGTGTCATATGAATTTAGTCTGTTTTCGTCTGTGTACATCATAGCTTGTAGAAATCTAGTATTTTTTTTTATGACAAAGAGTGATATTTGTTGGCATAGTTTGTATATTGTTATTTTAAACAGTTGCAGATAGACATAAATATAGTATTACTCTTGGTAGAATGGAAACTTTTTCAATGTTATGGGCCTATTCTACAATTCTTTTTAATTTTACGATGAAAGTAAATTTTATGAAAAGAGAAGCACAGATGTTGACAGTATAGTATTGTCTCAATAGTAACAAGGTGGTGAGAAACAAAAATACTCAGTACAACCCACCATCTTAGCACCACGAAGAAGATAAAAACACCCCTCTGACCCATATAAAGTGCAGCAGTTGCTGTTTGTCCCCCAACCATATCACTGAGTAATTGCAAAATCTGACACTTCCACAACATCGGAGCAATGTAGGACTGGTTACTAACTAGTATTAGTTGAGAAGTGTATGACTACATTTTTATTAGAAAGTGCTTTATTAAGATTGTAATTCTGGAATAAGCTGTATGTTTTTGATTCCATTGAATATTATTATCCAAAATCCAAACAAAAGACTTCATTTTAGAACAAACTCTTGGTTCCATTTCCTAACCAGGCTGCTGAAAGGTGTTAGGGTTCCTAACAAAAGGAGTCTGGTTTGGAAGATGAGTTAGATAGTAGGGTTTTTACCAAAATAAGATTTACATGTTAAACTATTTCTAGAAGGGCGCTAGCAAAAATAATCCTATTTGAGAAGTACATTTTTTGTCACTACATTCTCTTCATTTTTATTAATTATTTATACTCTGATGATTCTTTTACCATCCTATTTAATGTGAATTTGTTTCAAAATGTTATTTTGCATCTTCCATGTTTAGGTTAAATTAATGGGCATTGGTTGTATTTCTTAGTAACATTAATAGTATTTGTTTGCTATTTTTTTTTTTTGCAGTTGGTGCTAATGGATCTGGTAAAACAAATTTTTTCCACGGTAAGGAAATTGTTATTTTCTATGCCACTATAGTTATTACTTGTCCAGCTTTCACTATTTTGTGAAGTTGCTCACCTTGAATTTGACATTTGTTTTCCCCTTTTTCTTTTGTATATAGCCATTCGTTTTGTATTGAGTGATCTTTTTCAGAACCTTCGCAATGAGGATAGGCATGCCCTACTCCATGTATGGCACCGATCAAACTTCCTTTTACATATCTAATGTTGTGGTTGCTACCTATCACCTATCAACAGTAGAATCAATAATACTTAAATGATTATTTCTCTTTACAGGAAGGGGCTGGAAACCCGGTTTCATCTGCTTTTGTGGAGATCGTGTTTGATAATTCAGACAATCGTATCCCGGTAATATTTTGAAAATAATAGTTTCATTTATATTTGTCAAGGATATTTCTGTTAAGCCTACCTACCAGTGATTCTTTCTGTTAAGCCTTCTAACTGCTCTCTTTCCTTCCTTCATACCTTGCTGTTCCTCCCTCTGCAGACTTTTGTTCTCAGGCCTATTATCCTTTATCTCCTTTGATACACATGCTTAACGGATCTGTCATTGTGCATAAATTGTATCCTGTTGCATGATAGCTATCGCAAAGAAAATAACTTTATCCAGAAACTGTTGATAGACCATATTTGCAAAGATTCTGATATGTAATTTTTTCTGGCGTTCTTTATTATATCAATCTCTACCTTTCTAAATGGAGGATGGTTGGGTTGGGTATTTATCCATTTTTTGCACTGCGTTCTAAGCCATGGGTTTTCCTCTTTTAATTTTATAATCATTTTTAGCTCATCTGTTTTCTATGTTGAAGTTTTTATTTTTATTTTTATTCCATTTATGGATATTTTGGGCATTGTTCTCGGGGTTTTTGATTGTACCCACTTCCTACTATCTTCCTCAAGCTGAGAAGTAATTTGATAAATTAATGATATGGTTTTCTAGGGTAGGGCAGTTTTTATTTGAAAAATTTCTAATACAATTTCATTTCTTTATAACTTGCTTTATATTAAATATCCTTTTATCTAAGTTGTTTGCAAAATCTCTCGTTCTGTGCTAGGCGATGTACTTATTTTTACATAGCACCCTATGAGCTTTCCTTTTTTACTTTATCATTCATGTGCTTTATCTTTGATAACCACATATTTGCGAAATTTGTGCATGTACATTATCTTGGTATATATTTTGGTGAATAGGTTGACAAGGAGGAAGTGCACTTACGCCGGACAATTGGTTTGAAAAAGGACGAGTATTTTCTAGATGGGAAACACATAACGTGAGTGTAATGGATTAAGACATAGAAGCACATACTATAAATCTTTTTTTTATTTTATATTAAATTGACATTTTATCTCATGTACTTTTGTTATTCTGAGTATTTATATACCTGTCCTAAAGAAAGATGATAAACAATTTGCAGAAAAACTGAAGTGATGAATTTACTGGAAAGTGCTGGGTTCTCTCGCTCAAATCCATATTATGTTGTACAACAAGGAAAGGTATTGGTGCATGCTGATGGTGCTGCACTTAGGTTTTTAAAATTGCTATGTTGATAAACTTTGAAGTATTCAAGTTTGAAGTAATTACTAAACTTGCTCATTTCCCGCTCTTGCCTAGATAGCATCCCTAACCTTGATGAAAGACTCCGAACGATTGGATTTACTGAAGGAAATAGGTGGTACTAGAGTTTATGAGGAAAGGCGTCGCGAAAGTTTGAAAATCATGCAGGATACAAGCAAGTCTTTCCTACTTTTTATTTTTAAGTTTCTGATTTTTTAAGTTTAATTTCTTGTAATAGATTTTGTTAATATCATGTATTTTGCTGTGAGTCAGGTAACAAAAGAAAACAAATTATCCAAGTTGTACATTATTTAGACGAGAGGTTGAAGGAACTAGATGAGGAGAAAGAGGAACTTAGACAATATCAGCACCTTGACAAGGAGAGAAAATCCTTGGAATATGCCATATTTAACAAAGAAGTTCAAGATGCTCGGCAAAAACTTGCAGAGGTTATCCATATTAATGTTTCCACATTTATTATAATTTTTGAATATTTTTTACTGTGTTTTATCTGTGAATCTATTTCTTCCCCGATGATTGGATTGTCATTCACATCCATTTTGGTGATGATATGTTGTTTTTTTTTAATTCTTCTTGATGTATAGTTCAAAATCAATGCTGAGATAAGACTGAAAATGTTATAATAAATTCTTATGAAGACCTCCTTTTTGTTTTCAATAAATATTTTCTTGGGTGTAGTTAAATAGATAGAGTATTTAAGTACAAGAGTACTTAAGATACCACCATCAGGTGCACAGCTTGCAATTGTTAGACTAAGGGATTGCACAGACGAATGTATAGATTTTAATAATGATAACAACTCTTGACTAAACCAGAAATAGAATACAATCTTAGTGTTAAGAGTCCCACATCAGACAATCTTAGGTCCAACCACATCTTAATATGGTATTAGAGCCTTGTTTAAGATCCAGTGGACCACCCACCATTTATTTCTACGCTCCAGTTGTCTAGTCTTAGGCGTGAGGGGGTGTGTTAAGAGTCCCATATCGGACAATATATGGCCTGAACACGTGTTTATAAGTGGGGGCAATCCTCACCCTACAAGCCGGTTTTGTAGGGTTGAATTAGGCCCAACCACATCTTAATACTTAGAATTTTGGACTGGACCTAACTCAACTTTACAATACCTGTCTGTAAGGTTAAAACTGCCCCCCACACATGTTCATGCCTGTTAAGAAATGTGGTTGGGCCTAACTCAACCTTACAAATCTGGCTTGTAGGGTGAGGATTGCCTCCACTTATAAAGACATGTTCAAGCTATATATTGTCCGATATGGGACTCTTAACAATGCCATATCTCATTCAAAGTGCGATTTTTAACACAACACAATTTACAGGTCTAAGCACTAACAGCGTCAGCTAGTTATCCTCTCTAAAACATACAATCAAAAATTACCAACCCTAATAACTGCCACCCATACATATAGAAATAACACGCAACTGCCCTCTTAATCTATTTGTCTGATTAAAATAACTGTCCTAACTGCTTAATAAAATAACTGCCATTCCTTCACTTAACTGTTACCAATAATTCCTCTTTTTTTCTTTGGTCATAAACTTTCAAAAGCCTTGTACAATAGACTAGCCTGTCATCAATTTGCTTGAGAAGTGGAGGAAAGTAACAACCTTGATAAAAGTAGAAACCAAACAATGTTATCGAATAAGAATGGTGGACCATGTCCGAAAGGCCAAAATTCCAACATTTTAAGCTTCCATTTCTGCTCTGAAGCGCCATGGTGCTGCTGTTTTTCACTAATTTTCCATAGTGGTTGTCAAGAAATCCGCCACTTAAATTCCCGATGGCCGGTGTTTGACAACACTGAAGCTAGATCATGTAGAGAGTATAATGCACTGGACATTATAGTAGTAGCAAATTAATGATCTTCCAACTTAGTTGACTTCTCTAAATTTGTTACGTTTTAGAGAGACCAAACTACTAAAAACATCTGTTTCTCATACCAAAATCTTCCGCTTCTTAGTTTTCTGGCAGTTGGCTACTCTGTCACCCCTCCCTTTCTTTCCTGTCATTGTCTGATCTCTATTTCATCCTTTTCTGATAGAATTAGGTATAAGAGAGAGAATTGAAAGAGAATCTCATTGTATTTTTATATAGAACAGTGATACAAGAGGCTGCTATATATAGCAATGTAATCCTAACAAATAGCTGATAGAGTGTAACAAACTAACAGCTCAACATAACAAAGTTGACAGCTCAGCACAACAGAATATAAAGATAAAATAAGGGCATGAATTGTAAACTACTCTATTAGTCCCCTTTAGAAGCTGCTGGCAAGTTTGTCAAAGCAGTCTTATCCAACACACGCAGCTTGGAACGAAGAGGTACAAACTTGGCAGCAGACAGGGGCTTGGTGAGAATGTCAGCCCATTGGTCTTGAGCTGGAACATGAGCAACAGTCAGACTCTTGCTGAGTACTTTCTCTCGCAGAAAGAAGATATCAAGCTCCATATGCTTAGTCCTGTTGTGGAGAATAGGATTGTGAGCCAGAGTGACAGTGCTCAAGTTATCACACAAGATCTTAGGAACTTGAGAGGAATAATGGAGTTCCTTAAGCAAGGACTGAATCCAAATGAGTTCAGCAGCTAGCTGAGCCATACTACGATATTCTGCTTCAGCACTGGACCTTGCCACCAATTGTTGTTTCTTGGACCACCAAGAAACAGCATTAGGACCAAGGTATATACAGGCCCCTGAAGTGGATCTCCTGTCATCAGGGTCTGATGCCCAGTCTGCATCACAGAACCCTAGCAACTGCATTGGTTGCTGAATGTAAGCAGGCTGAATAAGCAGACCATGGTGTAGAGTACCACTTAGGTACCTTAAGATTCTTTTAACAGCCTTCCAATGATCCTCTAAAGGATTGGACAAAAACTGACAGACTTTGTTGACTGAAAAGGAAATCTCTGGCCTAGTTAAAGTAGCATATTGAAGGGCACCAACCACAGACCTAAACTGAGTAGGATCATCAACAGCAGCTGACCCAACCTTGGACAATTTGCTGCTAGAGACCATAGGAGTAGGCATGCCATTGGCATTCAACATATTAAGCCTGGAAAGCAAATATGTGATGTACTTAGTCTGAGATAGGAGAAGGGAACCATTGGAGAGATGAGTCACTTGAATCCCTAGGAAATAATCAAGTTGTCCCAGCTGTTTGAGAGAGAATCTATCATTGAGATGCTTGATCAAGGAAGCTATAAAAGGAGCAGAACTACCTGTGATGATGATGTCATCAATATAAACCAGAATCATAATCTGAAGTTTACCTTGATGCAGCAAGAATAGGCTAGGATCACATCTACTAGCCTTAAAACCAAGTTGAACCAAGACACTCTTGAGCTTATCAAACCAGGCCCTAGGAGCCTGTTTTAAACCATAAATAACCTTGTTTAACTTGCAAACAAGAGTCCTGTCAGCAGCTTCAAACCCAGGAGGTTGTTGCATAAATACTTCCTCTTCAAGAATGCCATTTAGGAAGGCATTGTTAACATCAATCTGCTGCAAGGGCCACCTGTTTGTAACAGCAATAGAAAGGACAATTCTCACAGTGACAGATTTAATGACAGGAGAAAAGGTCTCTTGAAAATCACTACCAGCCTTTTGATGGAACCCTTTAGCCACTAATCTGGCTTTATACCTGTTTATGGAACCATCAGAGTTCTCCTTAGTTCTGAAAACCCACTTGCATCCAATAGGCTTCCTACCAACAGGAGCTTTCACCAAAGTCCAGGTCTGATTTCTCAGCAGTGCCTGATGTTCTTCCTTCATGGCCTGAAACCAGTTAGGAGCAGCCAAGGCTTGCTCAACAGAAGTAGGTTCTAGGTGGGCTAACAATAGAGTAGGGTGGAGTCTAGGGAGAGTAATGCCTCTTTTGGCTCTAGTTTGCATAGGGTGGATATTTTGAGGATGAATGGAAGGTAAAGCTGTGGCAGAAGGGCTGGAAATAGGACTAGGGCTGGGACTAGGATAAGGGCCAACTGAAGGAGAGGAATTGGAAGAAGAGGGAGAGAGAGTGCTAGCTTCAGCTAGATCAGAGAGAATGAGGGCAGGGGAGGAAGAAGCAGAAGTGGTAATGGGAATAGCAGTTAGGGGTTGAGGGATAAGTTGCTGACCAGAAGAAGAAGAGTTGTGAGAGGGAGCAGCAGAGGAAGAGGAAGGAGACATGTGAGATACATGAGGAACATTGTGACTGCCAGGCCGAGTAAAGGCAGAATTCGAGGGAGAGAAAGGAAGACAAGATAAACTGGGAGTAGAAGGAGCAGAGACAGAGGGAACATGTGGGAAGCTGAGAGAGGGAGAGTAGGAGGATGCTGAATTAGAATGAGGGGAAGATTTAGAAGAAGAAAATAATGTGGAATAAGGAAAATTTGCTTCATGAAAGACAACATCCTTGGAAATAAAAATACAGCCATCTGAAGCTAGACATTTATAGCCTTTATGAGAGGTAGAGTATCCAAGGAAGATGCATAATTGAGATCTAAAGTCAAGCTTATGAGAGTTATAGGGACGAAGGAAAGGATAACAAGCACATCCAAAGACTTTAATAGTAGAATAGTCAGGGGTTTTGTGAAGTAATTTGTAATAAGGTGAGACATTGTCAAGGGTAGGAGTAGGAATTCTGTTGATGAGATATGCAGCTGTAATAAATGCATGATCCCAGAATTTTAAGGGAAGAGTGGACTGAGCAAGAAGTGTGAGACCAGTCTCAACAATGTGCCTATGCTTGCGTTCAACAAGACCATTTTGGTGATGTGTATGAGGACAAGTGAATCTATGGACAATCCCAAAATCTGTGAGATATTTAGTAAGAGGCCTAAACTCACCTCCCCCATCAGTTTGGACGCATTTAATGGGACAGTTGAATTGAAGCTCTACCGTTTTCTTAAACTGAAGGAACTGAACCAAGGTGTCAGACTTAAGTTTGAGAGGAAAAACCCAAACAAACCTAGAGAAGGCATCAACACATGTTAGGAAATAGGTATAACCACTGGAAGATTGCATAGGGGCAGGACCCCAGAGATCACACACAACAAGCTCAAAAGGATGAGAGTAAACTGTGGTAGACAATGAAGAAGGAAGTCTATGAGACTTGCCAATGCAGCAAGCATGACACAACTCTGCAGGGGGTTTAGGTGGCATAGACAGTTTACATAGTTTAAAAATTTCAACAAGAGCATGATGGTTAGGGTGTCCCAACCTAGTATGCCAAAGCACATATTTATTAGATGCAATAGAGGTTGCATTATTAGAGTGTGGTGAAGGTAAAACAATACTAGCAGTAGCAGAATTAAGAGAAGGACTGAAAAAGGAACTTGTAATATTATTATTGCAAAAGTCATTACAAGGAGACAGATGATTTGTAGTATTACTATCAAAGGATTCAGTACAATGAGATATAGAATCTGTCAGATATGAAGTATTACAACTGTTTGTTGCAGGATAACTATAACTAGAACTACAAGAGGGGAGAGACTTGGACAATTGAGGAGCAGCAGGATTGGGAAACTTATAGAGGCCGTCAGCACCAACAAGACCACTGAGTAAAACTTCAGAAATAGCCTGAGATTTGACAACACAAAACTTAGGATGAAATTCAAAAAACACAGCATTATCTTGAGCAAATTTACTCACACTCATAAGATTTTTGGTGATGTGAGGGACATGTAAGAGATTTCTAAGGGTGAGAGATAGGTGAGGTTTGTGAGGTAAGGGAAAAGACATAGAACCTACAGAGTTGATAGACAAACCTTGGCCGTTACCTATGAAGACTTGTTCAGTTCCAGGCACAGAGGCAGAGTCAGACACATTAGAGGCATCAGGAGTAACATGATGAGAAGCTCCTAAGTCAGGATACCACCATTGATTTGCGCTACTAGCTTCAGTACCTGCATAAAAGGCTTGTGGTGCAGAAGATCTAGGAGGTGCAGCTCTGGGAGAAGGATAAGCAAACTGCACAGGATAAACAACACGGGGAGCCACAAGGAAAGGATTGAAGGGAGCACGTTGTTGTGGATAACTAGCACCACTGGAATTTGCATAACGATAGTAGCATACTGAAGCATCATGACCAGGTTTGTGACAAATCTGACATGTTGATTTTCCAAAACGACCTCCACCACGGCCAAAACGACCACCGCCGCGACCAGAACGACCACCACGTGCGCCATAGGAATGATTTTCAGCATTAGCTGTGACATGACTCGTTCCTTGAGGAAATGCCTCCGAGACGACTTGATCGGAGGCGACCGGAGCAGGGGAAGGTGTTGCCTGAGTAAGATTGACCGTCACCGGTTCCGCAATCGCAGCTTTGCGATGCTTCTCCAATCGCGACTCATGAGCAAGCAAGGAAGACTCCAATTCTTCCAAGGAGCTTACGTCATCTTTGCTATTAACGGCGGCGACGATAGAATCATAATCCTCAGGTAGCGAATCAAGAACGATCTCAATTAGGTTACGAAGAGGAACAGGATCACCGATGGAGGTTAGCGACTCACTGATCTCACGTGAACGCGTCATAAGCTCAGCAATCGTCAGTGAATCCTTCGTAAGACGCCGGAGCTCTGATCGGAGTTGACGAGCCTTGGTGGAGAGAAGAACGTCAAAGTAACGATGAACTTCTGTCCAGACTTGCCACGCGTGCTTGCACTCAACAAGCTTTGGAAGAAGTGCATCGGAGATGGTAGAAAGAAGCCAGGTGCAGATGAGAGCATCCTGTTGCTCCCACTCAAGAAACACACTGTGAGATGCAGGATCTAAGGGAGACGGTGGTGGAATCACCGGAACAGTAACAAAGCGTTGAAGACGATGGCCACGAACGACGCCATCAATCTGCTGCTTCCACTGTTTGAAATTCTTGTCGTCAAGCTTAACAGAAATTAGGTGAGAAAGCTTCACCTGAGAGGAAGGAAACAAAGGCTCCATGGATTGGAAAAAAAAACTTAAGCTCTAGATACCATGATAGAATTAGGTATAAGAGAGAGAATTGAAAGAGAATCTCATTGTATTTTTATATAGAACAGTGATACAAGAGGCTGCTATATATAGCAATGTAATCCTAACAAATAGCTGATAGAGTGTAACAAACTAACAGCTCAGCATAACAAAGCTGACAGCTCAGCACAACAGAATATAAAGATAAAATAAGGGCATGAATTGTAAACTACTCTATTATTTTCCATTCCCAATCAGCCTTACATCCTTGCTCCTTTTTTCCCTACTATGTAAAATGCTCTCGGATATTCAATGCAGTTACTTGCAGTTTAAAATTGTACGCTAAATATTTGTTGGTCTTTATAGATCAATCAAAAATCAAGATGTCAAATTTATGTCGTTCTAGTCTTTAGACATTTTTATTCTGGTTTTACTATATTGGATTTCAGATGCCTAAATGTAATTGCTTGACTCGTGGTTTTAGATAGAAGAAGCACGGACCAAGGTTTCTGAAACATCAGCAAAGAAGTATAACGAGGTTCTTGATGCACATGAGAAATCCAAAGATTTGGAGAGTAATTTGAAAGATATAACAAAGGAACTTCAAAACTTTATCAAAGAAAAAGAAGTTATTGAAAAGCAACGAACAAAAGCATTAAAGAAGCACACAGAGCTTGAGCTTGATGTCAAAGACTTACGAGAGAAGATCTCGGGAAATATCCGTGCCAAAGTATTATTCTAATGATGATATAATGTTACGAGTTCTTTTAAATGGTTTAGTTCTGTTCATGTTTTTACTTTTACCTACATGGTTTCAGGAAAATGCTGCAAAACAACTGAAGACACTTGAGAATAAAATTCAAAGCTCAATGGATGAACTGGACAAAATCAGTCCTTCATACGATGATCTTGTTCAGAAAGAAAAAGACATTACCAAGCGGTATGCTGTGGTTGTACTTGTCTACTGATATGCTTCAGTAAAGTATAATTTATTTAACCTTCCTGGTGCATGCATTTTGACCTCCTGTTTTGTTTGTTAATGTTCTCCCTATGTATGTGTGTATGTTTCTCAAGTAACAATAAAATTTGGAGTAATTAGGATACATGATAGAAATATCATTTATCTCTCACATATTTGTACATTTTTTAATTTGAATCTTATTACTTACAAGATTATGATTTGTTAGAATAATGGAGCGCGAGAAGAAACTCAGTATACTCTATCAAAAGCAAGGACGTGCAACACAATTTTCAAGTAAAGCTGCTCGTGATAAGTGGCTTCGAAAGGAGATTAATGATCTTGAACGGGTGCTCTCTTCGAACACAACACAGGCAAGTATTCATTTAGTGGCACCAGTTGTTCTGAATTATGGACAAAATACAGTTTTTTCTTTGCACGCAGAGTTATCACCTTTTGTTTGGGCTATTAACCAGCTTTCTGTTAATTTTTGAGCTCCATTGCATATACATTTTTATGTATAATGGGTTAATATTATTAGAGAATAGAATGGAGTAAAAGATCAGGGGAAATTCAACTTGCAATTACTATTTCAAACAATATCATGTAAGCTTATCAGTCATTGTAAATTCAATTGAGGAACCCATATAATATTGTTGTTGTCTGAAGGCTGAGCACCACTGAAATATAACCGTTTCTCCCAGAGGCACAAATACTTCACTTTGATTCTGTTTTTACATTTGGGTGGTAGAGGTAGCTCAATTGGTTTGAACTAGTTGAGCTAAGGGTTAAATGAGTTGGAGGTCCAGGGTTCAATCTTTGGCTAAGGTGTAAATATAATACTAACTACTAACAATTGGCCTTTAAAAAATCAAGATGGAATACATCTACTATATATCCTCTTCACCGTCTGCTTCATAAAAACTATTTATATGCTATGAGGAATACATATTTCAATGAAATCCAATTGAATTTTTTCTGAATTTTTATGAATCAAAAAGCCGAAGCCAGCTAACCTTTGCTTTTGAAATCTACTTTGCCTCAGACTATGAAAAGCTGCCCCCCTAAACTACTGTCAATTTCTTATAAACAGGCTTTTTAGCACTCTGTCAAACACTTGAAATTTGTTACTTGCTCTTATAATGATTAGAGCAATAGTAGTAAAAGTAATCTCTAACTGCTTGTAATGGAAGTTTTTATATATTATAGACTAGTTAAAAATATTTCCCACTTCCTAAATCCATGTTATGCTCATACATCATATTGGCTGTTCCACTACCTTCAAAAAATACTAGTATTATTAAGATTGATTTATTAAATCGTGTCCTTATATGCAAAGTTACCTCTTTTGATTACTTTAACAATGCTCTAAGGACACAGTATACATGATATAAATTGTATAAAAGTTCTAAAAGTACAGCCATCTCGCTTTCCACCATCATTTTATAGTATTTTTGAGGTTGGCCTCTGTGCTCCACTATGCGTGTTATGTAACACTGATCAATACCCCTTACCATTGTCTTGTACTGTTACAAAAACTTTGGCTCTTCTATCATGTTTTCTTTCATATTTTTGATTTTTGCTTTTCACCACAGGAGAAAAAGCTGATGGAAGAAATTGAACGGCTTAAGGATGAAATCCATGGTTGTGATGAGAATGTCCAGAACCGTAGATCGAGTATTACTTCTATGGAATCTCGAAATGCTCAGTCACGTGAAGGGTTTAATGTTTATAAAGAAAAGAGAGATAAGCTTCATGACAAGAGGAAGTTCGTATATCCTGTCATTTTTTGTGATGTTTGTGTGTATTTTGTGGATGAAAAAAGAATCATAAAACAGAAGTTAGCGTACAATGAAAGTGTAGGATGAATTGTAGCAAAACAAAGAGGAGAAAAAGTACATTGCTTCTTACTTTTCATTGTCAATGAGATATTTCTAATGAATTGATATTATTATATTATAGGTCTTTATGGAACCAAGAGAATCAACTAACTGCTGAAATTTATAAACTGCGAGCAGAAGTTGAAAAGGCTGAAAAGAGTCTTGATAATGCAATTCCTGGCGTGAGTAGCCCATCTTAAAAACTTCTTTTAACGTGGTATTTCTCAATGCATAAAATGTAAAGGTCCCTTGTGTATTCCCAAGACATTGCACCTTTCACTACATGTGAGGTGATCTCTGCCTATTTATTGCATATAAGTTTAATCTCAATTTTTGTACATACTACACACCCTGTCTGAAAGAAATAAACATTTGTTCATAGATGTAAATATATGTCATTCTAAAAATAAAGAAATAATATTGATTTTTCCTCTGGGTGTTTTTACAACTATCTTTACATCATATAGATGCAATAACTTCTAGTCCAAAAGAAACTGCAGACACTCTTTACCTCCAAAAATGATATGACATTTAAGTGATAAATGAAGTAAAGTGATTCTATTCTGTGTTGGCTGTACTTCTTATTTTCTAAATTATGCTAAAATTGGTAACCCGTTGCTATAAATATCCCACCGCAGAGGGGTCAAGAGAAGAGTCAAACCTATTATGGATCGCAGTGTTTTGTTTATCTAAATATTGAGTAATGTTAACTACCTGGCATTTGATAAAAGTGTTATCTATTATTATCTGTCCAGTTTGGAGATGATCTGTTATGATAATGTTTCTGTAGACCTATTCTGGGGGTAGGTTGGCATGATTATACATCACCATGTTTGACACTATACTATAATATGCAGGATGTTAGAAGAGGGTTGAATTCAGTTCGGAAGATCTGCAAAAGTTATAACATTTCGGGAGTTCACGGTCCAATTATTGAGTTGCTGAACTGTGATGAAAAATTTTTCACCGCAGTTGAAGTGACTGCAGGAAACAGGTCTCCCTGTAATTCTTTGAATAGACATGTTTTACCATGGGTCACATTCATAGTGTATTTTTTATCTAGGATACTGGGATGGGGTAGATTTGGCACATCCATAGCATGTAGTTTTACTTTTTATCAACTCTAATATTTATTCCTGGCCTGATCTTTTTATTGGTTTTTATAATTTTGTATATTTGGCTTGATTTCTTAATTTAACTTTGTTTTAACAGCTTATTTCATGTGGTTGTTGAAAATGATGACAAGTCAACTGAGATAATTAAACATCTTAATCGACAAAAAGGTGGACGTGTTACATTTATTCCACTTAACAGAGTAAATGCTCCTAACGTCACTTATCCACAAAGTTCTGATGTCATACCTCTTTTAAGGAAATTGAATTTTAAACATGACTATACTCCAGCATTCAGCCAGGTACTTCTACACAAGTGTTGTTTCTTATTTACATATGGGTATATGGCTCAGTGTCTTTAGTTGCTATGCATTAATTAACTTAATTCTAAAATGGTTTATCTGGTTTCATCATAACATGATAAAATTGATGCAAGTGAAGCATGTTGAATTAGGACAATGCGATATTAAAGGATTATGTTTTATTTATAGGGGTTATTATGTTACTATTAATAATTTTAGAACTTTGTCTTAATTTTGAAATAACTAGTTTTAAGGGAAGGTTCTTCAAGTGCATGGGTGCTTATCATATTTTTTTTATCACAATTGGGTTATTATTACCCTTCAGGTTCCTTTTGTTATTTAGATTATTGGTTTTAATGGAATTAGTATAATTAGTTAGTTGAATTTGAATCCTAAGGATTGTGGGATTCTAAGAATTCATGGTTATTGCAGATTTTCTTCCTCTTGATTGTTTGAGTATTCTATTCTTTTAGTCAAATACATATCTTGTTTAAATGGATTTTTACCCACTTAAAATTAGAAGGTACATGTTAGTAGTTTGCACTATTAGGTTCTTATATTGGGCCAAACTCATCCTTACAACATGTTGTCAAAATCGGGATCTTGTTTAAGATCGGGAGGGGGCAGTAAGTTCGTAAAACATAAGATCATTACTAAGATCGGAAGATCCTACTCAATAATTTTTGTAAGATCGAGAGTGGGTAGCAAGATCGTAAAACATAAGATCGCAACAAAAACTGTATGATAACTAAAACATAAAATAATACTACATATTTGAAGTATTTCTACATGATATTTTCACATGCAAGTGTAATCATGGGAAAATGGACGCTGCCGAACATAATTGTTGTACCTCTGTATCTTGTCATCCTTCTCGGCTTGTAATGACAGTGGCCGAAAAATGGCCGATTGTGGCCGGAACTGGCCAAGATCGCACATAACCAATGTTTTTGCCATTTTCTGGTAATTTGACTACAACACCTGATTCTACTTGAGATCTAGATCGTTAGGGGTGAGTGAGATTGTAAGATTTTAAGATTTAAATCAAGATTTTGATAACCATGCCTTACAAAACCGGTTTGAAAGCTGAAGGATTTTTCATTTTGACCAACTAAAATTAATGGTAGATTTGTAACTTTCATTTAATTATTTTAAAACACCAAGATAAATATTCCCTTTTCTTTTTTTAGTAAGTTGCTTGTTTGTCCGTCTACGTAACTCATCTTTACAAAACTGGTTTGTAGTGTTAGGGGTGTCTCTATTTATAAACACTTTTCAAGTCTTCTCTCTTTTCATTGTGGGAGTTGAGTTTTTTTCAGTACCACCCTTAAGGTCAACACTATTAGTTTAGTGCGTGGATTATTTGGAGGCTGGTCTGAATTGATAGATTTCGATACTATCATAAGTTTTATATTGGACCTAAATCATCCTTACAAATTTGGCTTGTAAGACGAGGGATGCCTCTCTTCATAAATTAATTTTAGACCTTGGTACAGGGGCAGAGAAAATAACGATCTTATTATGGATGATGCATATCTAAAAACAAATTTAAGAAATTAAATAGATTAAAAACACTGTTTTGGGGGAATAAAGACAATAACTAGCATAGTTTGGGGGACTAAGAAAATGTATAAGCCCTTATTAATTTAGAGTGTCTAAAACTGAGTTTCACTAGCACTCTACACCTAAAGTAGCCTTCAGGTTTTTCAAAGGAATCACTTTCAAAGAGGAGCATTCCAAACCTAAATATTACTCCCTCTACATCAATGATGTCATCCTCATAGTCATATAGTTACATTAGGTTTTCCTTAACATCAATTTTGATATTTTTATTAGGTATTTGCTAGAACAGTTATCTGCAAGAATCTGGACGTGGCTTCAAAGGTGGCTCGAACTAATGGTTTGGACTGCATAACACTGGAAGGTTTGCCTAACTCTGCATGCGTCTGCATAGTGTGTATGATCAAATGTTTTGTTTTGACAAATTGTTGACTGTATCTTTACAGGTGATCAAGTAAGCAAAAAAGGTAGTATGACTGGAGGATTCTATGATCACAGACGATCAAGATTGAAGTTTATGAATATGATTAAGCAGAATGCTGACAATATTCACGATAGAGAGGAGAAATTGGAGAAAGTTAAGTTTGAGATACAAGATATCCTTTGCATTAATGTTAGTATATATAAACTTTGTAAATTTTCCATTTTTAATTTGGAACTAATTTTTTATAACATAATGAAACTGAGCAAACAAAGTAAACCCGGATGACCTTGATTATCATCAACTGTCTGAAAGAAATAGCTCCAAGAGACAGAAGAGAAACCATTTGGTAATGTGTGTCCAACTGTTATATTTACTTTTTTTTTTTTAAATTTATTTTGGTTATGTAATAATACGTGTTTTTGGTCTATATCGATGGAGATGTGATATGTTGTCTATAAGTTTCTGTGATTAGCTTCAACTTTTACAAACAGTTATTTCGTTTTGGTTTGACCATTATTTTTAATGGTATCTTGGATATATTCACAGTGCTGTCTTAAAACAAAGTTTTTTTTTTTTTTTTGAGTTACGGTGCATTTGCATGATAAAATTCATTATTAGAAATGTGGCAAGCTGAGCTGAAGAAAATAAAATGTTCTACCTGTGTTTTATCACATGTAAAGTTGGGCAGAACTTGCTTGTTACTGCACTTTGTTGGTTCTGTACGCCTTTACAGAATTTTAGTGTTTCTTTTGGACTTCATTACATGGTTTCCTACACTTATTTCGTGCATGGATGATGATTGATTTTTCCTTTTATATCATTCGTTGTTCTATTTAATGCTAAAACGTTTTTGAGGCTCTTGATTTTCTTTTTACGTGGTAACATGAAATACTGCATATCCATTAGGGCTGTTCATAGTATAGTTCAGGGAGAAAATCAAACCGAATCAAACCATAGTAAAAGTTCACTCGAACTGAACCAAACTGTTTTAAATTACTCAAAACCGAACCGGACCAAACTGTTTTAATTTACTCAAAACCGAACCGAACCAAAATCATTGGTTTGGTATACCGTTTTAAAATTCCAAACTGTACTGAATCATTTATTAAAGGACCGAACCGTTAAACTATTTTTCAACTTTTTTTAAAAAAAATTAAAATTTATTTTTAGTATTTTTCATTTTCAGTTTTGGTTCGGTTCGGTTCTAGAACTGTTTGTGTAATATGGTTTGGTTCACTAACCAAACATAATGGTTTGGTTATTTTAACTTCAATTCGGTTCAGTTCAGTTCATGGTTTTTTTGAACAGCACTAATATCCATTAGTTGTGATTCATTCTCTGATGCCTTTGCCGTTCCTTGCCGTAAAGCCACTTTCCCCTATGGTTTTGTTTTCACTAAACTGGTCTCACAGATAGACCAAGAGATTAATGAACTTGTTGCTGAGCAGCAGAAGGTTGATGCTCAATGTGCTCATTACAAATCAGAGATAGGAGAGCTTAAGCGGGACATTGAGAATTCTAACAAGCAGAAGCAAGTAGTTTCTAAAGCACTTGCAAAGAAGGTGTTATTGAATTTCTCAGATTATACTCAATTATCACTCACAAGTTTCCTTCTTATTGGTAGTTTCTTGTGAGATTGTTTACTGCTAAGTTACTAATTGATAACCTTTTTTTTCTTTCCAAAATTGCTTGTAGGAGAAATCACTTGTTGATGTCCAGAATCAGATTGAACAGCTTAAGGCTAGTATTGCTATGAAAAAAACTGAGATGGCCACAGAGCTCATTGATCATTTAACACCTGAGGAAAAAAGGCTTTTGTCAGATTTGAACCCTGAAATCAAAGACCTTAAAGAGAAGCTTGTTGCATGCAAGGCTGAGCGCATTGAGGTTCTTGAGTGAATTATATTGATGTCCATAATATTTAAAGAGCTATTGTCACCATTTTAACTTCAAATTTCGCAGATCGAAGCACGGAAAGCAGAGCTGGAAACTAATCTAACCACTAATCTCAGGAAAAGAAAACAAGAGCTGGAGGCTGTGATATCATCTGGTGATGCTGACTCTTTGGTTGTTGATTCTGATTTGAAGAAGCGGGAACTTAATGATGCTAAAATATCGGTTGATGATGTTTCAAGTCAACTTAAAAGTGAAAACTTCAGCCAGTGTTGTCTTTTATCTATATCGTGAAGCTCACATTTTTGTTCTTTGTTTGACCAATTTTTCTTCCTCAGGTGTTTCTGATAGTATAAATAAACGAACCAGGCAAATAGCGAAGATCAAAGATGATATGAATAAATTGAAGGTATTGCTCTTTTAAATTGATTGATGGTTATGTGTTGCTTGTCCATAATGGCAAACTTTTTTACCTGCAGTCTTTGGAGGATGACTATGATAGACAACTTCAGGAAGAAGCTAAAGAATTAGAGCAATTGCTGAGTAGAAAAAATACAAATTCTGCTAAAGAAGAAGAATACACTAAAAAAATAAGGGAGCTGGGCCCATTGACTTCAGATGCTTTTGAGATGTAAGGCTTGCCTTGCAGCTTATTTTTACTTTTCTTATTTTTGTGTGTAGAAGATCTATTATTTTATAGGGATACAATAAAAGACGAATGCTATTCTGAAAAGAAAAGAAACGATAGTCAATTATAAAACACTAAAGCACCTCATTTTCTCTATGCATGTAATTAATCTATATAAACAGTCAATTAGCTTCATTTCATTCTCACTTCACAGTTTATAGTGTTGCTTTCTAAGAAAGCCTTGTGCTCTTGCAAATACTTCAAAGTTTTCTCCCAAGGCTTATTTTCTTGAAAAGCATATTTCTTTTGACTCCAGTGTTTTTTAAATTTGGCATGGCTAATTCTCAATTTTGGATTGAGCCTAACTCATCCCTACAAAACCGGTTTGTAGGGTGAAGATTGTCCCGGTTTATAAACACAACACATGCCATATCTCTTAGCAATGTGGGAATCGACCCCTTCAAACCCAATACAATAAAGATGTTGGGGGCTGCAATGAAGGCAAGCCAAAGTACCGCAATTAAGGCGACTAAGGGCGGACCACAATTAAGGCGAAAACTCCAACACCCCCTCACACTTGGGCCTCAATGAGCCCGAAGCGTGGAGGATGCGGGAAGCCCGTTGGGTTTGGGCCTAACTCATCCCTACATCCCTACAAATGTTTCATTAAGATATAGAGTTGTTACAGTTTATGGTTTCTGCATTATAGTTTACAATTTTCTCTGTATTTTGGTTTTTGCTAATTTTAGTTGGCGACTCATTTCCTCTTATAATGGGATTATAGGTACAAACGGAAGAATATTAAAGAGTTGCAAAGAAAGCTGCACAGTTGCAATGATAAGTTGCAAAAGTTTAGTCATGTCAACAAGAAAGCACTCGATCAGTATATAAATTTTACAGAACAGCGAGAAGAACTTCAGAAAAGACAGGCTGAACTTGATGCAGGAGATGAGGTATACTGTCATTTCAATTAAGGAAGTTCATTATATTTCTTTCTGAATATTGCTGGTTCTGCACTTTTATTATCTAAAGGTTTTCGAGCAGTTGATCTTTCATGGCTGTTAATGTTGTTGCATCTTTATGTGTTCATGAAGCCGGTCTTGTTGAATACTCACCTGCAAGTGGACTAATTTATTTCTGTGATATTTTTCTTATTTCCATTCTCTGATGTATCATGTCCTGTAATGTAGTATTAATGTGATATTTGTTTTTTTTTTTTGGCTTGGGTTGAGTGTCTTACTGGTTCAATGCCAACTTTTGCGTTTTTGAATGTATTGTATGCAACACTATCAAACACAAACATCTCTAGAGTAGACGTGTCGTGGTGTCCGACACACGTTCGAACACTCACACTCCGACACCAAAAATGATGTTGTTGGTGAAAAGTCAGACGAGTGTCCCCAAAAATATGTTGCTTTGACACTTTTTGAATCGGTGTGTGACACCCGTATGACACTCATACAACACGTGTCAGACAATTCAGCCAAGTGTTTAAAAAATTTCTTTTTTTTTGTTGCTTCCAACACTCCTTATACATTTTTTGAATAAACCTCACACACATGTAAAAGGGTTAAACATATATTGATAAATGGATAAATGAAGCTCAAATATATTATATAAGTAGCGGTGTCGGTGTCCTATGTTTGACACTTTTCGGTGTCGGAGTGCGAGTGTTCGTGTCATGTCCCAATGTTTGTGTCCGAGTCTGTGCTTCATAGATGCAACAGTGCTAAATTGTCTGACCCTTTTGCCATTAAATAATTGCAGAAAATCAAAGAGCTAATAACAGTGCTAGATCAGCGGAAGGACGAATCAATAGAACGCACTTTCAAAGGTGTTGCTAGGCATTTCCGAGAAGTATTCTCTGAACTTGTACAGGGGGGCCATGGTTATCTGGTTATGATGAAGAAGAAGGTTTGTGGCTATTAAATAATGTCTTAGCTTCTCCCATCAATTCTTGTGATTGCATTGGATAGGAAAATATGATGCTTATTGCTTGTTATCTGTGATCTGTGTTACATAATTTTTGAAAATATTATAGCAACAAAGAATTATTATTTCAGTAGGAGAGCACTCCTATTGTAGGGGAGGGGGCATACATTATGTCAATTAAGGAGTGATATAATCAATAATAAACATGAATATCCATCATGCCCAATTAGATGCTCAAAAGTCGGTCTTGCTAAACTCAGTTAAATGTCGACTTTTTATTGATTTGAAGGCATAAATGGCAAGCATAAAATTTTGGACTACAATCAATTTCAATATGATTTCTCATGCTGGATGAGATTGTGTGTGCAATTTCAATGGGAACTCTACCATCATCTATAGTTCCTTTAGAACTATATAAATCCACAGGTCTTCCAAATTCCTCTGGTTATTGCTCTAAGCTCGGCTTTCACGCTATTTTGTTTTGGAAACCACACTTTGTTTCTTGCTTCTCCAACTTACCAAGTTTCTCTACATATAGGTACATACACTAACCTAAAGCAGACTTTCGATCTTTGCAGAATCTGTCCAGTTTACATTAGTAAAAATAGTCACATTCTTAACAATGTTTTTTCCCAAAAAATAGTCCCATTTTAGGGGTAGCCTTTAAGTATCTCAAAATTCTATAGACAGCTTCAAGAAGCTCTTCCTAAGTAGAGTGCATAAATTGACTGATAACACCATAGGGGAAGGCAATATCACGGCGAGTATGGGCCAAGTATATCAATTTTCCAACTAACCTCTCCTATCTCCCAGTATCAACAGGAATATTTCTTTGTTCTCTAAATTTTGCATATGGGTTCATAGGAGTAACGGTTGGCCTTCAACCACTAATTCATGTTTTCTGCAAGAGATCAAGAAGTACTTCCTTGGATAAACTAATATTTCTTTATTATATGGAGCCACCTCCATTCCACGAAAGAGATCCCTTTTTACAGGAGGGATGCATAATGTCAACTCCTCAAATTGAGGAGTGATATAAACAGAGAATAAAAACTGACATCAATAGCAAAGACTGAGAATTTTCTGACAAATTTTTTCACATTAATTTTTTATGCTTTATGTTAAACTGCTCTATTTCTATGTACTTGCAAAATTTGTGAGAGGAAAGGTCAGTGGTAAATTGATATTTACCTTCGTTACTGTAACTCATGCAAATGGTATTTCTATATTTTATTTCTTTTCCCTCAGGATGGTGATCAGGATGATGATGACCAAGACGAGGATGGTCCTCGGGAAACTAATCCAGAGGGGAGAGTAGAAAAGTACATTGGGGTGAAAGTGAAGGCAAGTGTTTCTGATTTCTTTTCTTTATTTATATCTAGTGTTTGTACCAAGGTACTCAAAACCGGACTGGACCGGTTGGTTCAACCGGTTGAACTGGAAACCAGACCTGTGTTTGGTCTGACTGGCCATCTAAACCGCTATGTCATTCTCTATAACATTGTCATATTATTTTTAATATAGTATTTCTTTTTGTGAATTTTAAATTTTTAAAGGAATTATTGTGTGTAGTAATGTTTAATTAAAAATTATAATGTGTATAGTTAAAACCGATTGAACCTCGTCAACTTTTAAACCTTAAACCCTTGAAAGTACCGGTTACTTGTCCGGTCCGATTTTGATTATCTTGGTTTGTACTACGATATTAATATTCTTGTCTGGAGATATATTTTCAATTTTTGTCTTCTGGTTGGCATTTAGAGAGAATTTACATTCAATTTGTAGCACAACCAAATAAAAGCAAAATTTGATATCATTTTACAAAAATGAGTCCTGTTCACCGAGCCTTTGCTGATTGTAAAGACCACACGTTGCTCCTGCATTGCTACAAAAAGTCAAAGGTTTGCATTTCAACTACCTGATATTCGTAGGCATGTTTATACCTTGCAGGTCTCTTTTACTGGACAAGGGGAGACACAGTCCATGAAGCAGTTGTCGGGGGGTCAAAAAACTGTTGTCGCACTTACACTTATCTTTGCCATACAGAGATGTGATCCGGCTCCCTTTTATTTATTCGATGAGATTGATGCAGCATTGGATCCACAGTACAGAACTGCTGTTGGAAGTATCCATTTTATCTATGTCAATTCTATCTTGTCATGTCCAATGTCTGTTCTTGCATTTTCCATCTGTATTTACTGCATGCTGTAGTATACTTCTATATTTGCTTTTGCTCTTTTAGCAAGGTGTTATCACTTTGTAAGATACACGCTCTTCCCTACTTAGTAAAGTTACACAGGGCTTGAATAGAGAAATACTTGTAGAAATGGTATTGGACATGACATATGGTAGGATATTAGCTGTCATTTGATCCATGTCAGTGGTATAAAGCATTGATTATTTATTGTTAATTTATTACTGTTATATGGATCTTTTGTAATATTAAAACTTTTTTCATGCTTGTGATATTCTGAGTGACATCTAGGTTTCCTTTTATACTGTTGTTCCTTTGAAGATCCTTGACTTCCATAGATATGATCCGGCGCCTGGCAGACATAGCAAACACTCAATTTATCACAACAACTTTCCGCCCAGAGCTAGTTAAAGTTGCCGACAAGATATATGGAGTGACACATAAAAACAGGGTCAGCCGTGTTAATGTTATATCCGAGAGTGATGCTTTGGAATTCATTAATCAGGATCAGACGCAAAATGCTGAATAAGGTAAAGTTATAACTTCACTATTTCCCTTTCCAATGTTTATGACTGATTAATTCTCCCCCCAATCTTATTTGGGGCCATGCAAAATCGAAGTAACTTGTATTCTTTATGTGCTAGACAAACTGGAATTGGTTTGAACTTATTCTTTCCATTTTAAACTTAACATCAACCATTTCAGTGAAATAAAAATTTATGTTCAAGGCCTGTTTATGAAATGTTATTATTTAATTGAAAAGAAAAGTTATTATTTGGTTTATATTTTCATTTTTCTGTTTTCACTTTAATAAAATGTCATATTTTCACTTTATCATTTTATTTACGAAGTTATATGTAGTAAACATTTTTTTCTTGGGGACAAATTATAGTATGTAGTAAGCATAAACATTGAAGTCAATTAAAAATTTGTTTTACTGTTTCTTGTGCAAAAATTTAAAAGTAGAAAACAAAATAAAAAACAACATTGTGTTATAATTCAAAATGTAAATAAGACATCATAGTTGAAACCAAACAGCCCGTAGGTCTTTTACTATTGATTACTAGTTTTTTTTTAACGGGTTTTTTGATTAAATATGGTTATGTTAATCATGAAATATACTCGGATGATAATAAACGAAGTTTACATGTTTTGATATTTTTATTTATGATAAAAATGTTATGTTGTTATTTGATATGTTTAATCTAAGTATTCGACTCTACATTCTATATAGGGGCAGAAGGTTTAGTTGTCTGTTGATTTTCTTTGCTTTGATATATTAAAATTCAACTGAAAGAATAAATTTGGATTTTTTTAATATTAATAATATTCTAATAATGATGTTTTCATAACAAGTCAAATGCTCATTGAAAAGACCTGATATTGTGATTGGCCAACTTGGCCATTTTATTTAATTTTTGGTACAATTATTATATATTTTTAATGTGTTTTGAAGTGGTTGTTTATATACTATTAGGATTTTCTACTCTCATGATTCGACCTGAATCGGTCTTGGAGCCCTTCAACGTTAGCAGCATAGTTCTTGTCAAATTCTTCAACCTGCACTTTTATGTGCTTGTCAAATTCTCCAACTTTCACTTTTATGAAATGTTACAACTTAGATACTTAAGTTAATATCTTGTGTGATGCTTACCATGGAAAACATAGATCCATGGAGAATATCTTTGAAGACTGGTTTGATAATATAGAAGGTTTCAGAGTTTCAAAGATCTTGGTATGTGTATATTTGATTTGGAATCCGTTTCATATGCAAATTTATAAGATTCCGATAAAGTTAAATAATAAACTAAATTAAAGTCCCCCACATCAATGTTTTGTATTGAAATTTAAAATATTATTGAATATTCTTGAAATAAATATGCTTAATCAATTTATGTTTAATATTTTTTATAAACTACGTGTTATTATTAAGATAATAATATTAAATAAGTACTAATAAAAATATGTTTCTATAAAGGAAAATATATACTTTATTTGATTTAGAAGTGGTATATAGTTTATATATGACATATTTCTGATATTTATAGGTTACTTGTGAGATTATATTTTTCATTGTGGATGAGATATTTCTTATGAATTGATAATATTATATTATAGGTCTTTGTCGATCCAAAAAAAATCCAAAAACCGAACCGAAAAAACCGAAATCTAAAAAAACTGAATTTTTTTGAATGTATTTGGATCACCATGTAGCATAACCGACCGGTTCGGTTTAATTTACGGTTGGCTTCATGAGAACCGAACTGGTCCAAATTGAATCGGTATTACTTCCATTCATTTGCCATTTATTATTTATTACTTCCATAGACTCTGATTAGCTATTGATATTCGCATTCTAAAAGAATTGGGTAGAATTGTGAAGCTGGAGTGGAGCTATTGCAGGATAATTAGAAAATTTGTTATTTGACTATCAATTATGTTGCAGGCTCTGATTTTGAAACTATCAATTATGCTGTCATATATAAAGTAGATCTTCTCTCTATATATAATGCAGTTTGTCATATTATTATTATATATTCCTTGTGATGCAATTTTCGCATGTCCACTATTATTGATATTTTTCTTGAAGTTTTATTATTATATTCGCTTTAATATAATTTTGGAATCTTCATTTGTTCACTGTTTTATATATTTGTCATATATTTAATTTATAATACAAATCTCCATATAAGAACTAAGCATATCTCTATATATATTATTGTTAGAAAGATAGAGAGAGTAGAGAAAGTTTGTTTCCATCTGTAACTACTTTCTGTTATTCATAAAAGCTTTCACACCGATTACAAAGAGGTGACACCTGTTTATATAGGAACAGGGCACCAGTTACAGTAGGTAACCAAGAGGTGGAAACTGCCAGGTGGCAGTTTTCTACTATACAGCAATATCTTCTCTAATACCCCCCCCACAAACTCAGGAGGAGGCAACTACTCTGAGTTTGTGCCTAAGAGTCAAAAAAGCAGTGGAAGCTAATGGTTTAGTGAGCACATCAGCCCACTGATCCGTGCCTGGGATGTGCACAACTTGTAATTGTTTGCTAAGCACCTTTTCTCTGACAAAGAAGAGGTCAATCTCCATGTGCTTGGTCTTAGTATGCATAATAGGATTATGTGCCAGAAGAACTGCAGACTGGTTATCACAGAAAATCTGGGGAGTCTTGCAAGAGATGAATAGTTCCTGAAGAAGGGTTTGAATCCACAGCAAATCAGCTGCAGCATGAGCCATGCTTCTGAATTCAGATTCAGTGCTGGACCTAGCTACTACATGTTGCTTTTTGGACCACCAGGAGACCAAGTTAGGGCCAAAAAATATTGCAGCACCAGAGGTACTTCTTCTATCATCTGGGTCAGAGGCCCAGTCAGCATCACAGAACAGCTTAATAGTAGGTGAAGTAGAGGGTGTAAGAGCAGTCAGATGCAGGCCATGGGAGATGGTACCTTTGAGGTACCTCAAAATTCTTTTGACAGCCACCCAATGAGCTTCAAGAGGCTGTGCCATAAATTGACACACCTTGTTCACAGCATAGGCTATATCTGGCCTAGTGAGGGTGGCATATTGCAAAGCACCAACCACTGACCTGTACATAAAAGGATCAGTCAGTGGAGGTGAGCCCACCTTTGTAAGCTTGCAGGTAGATTGCATAGGGGTAGCTACAGGTGTACACTCCAGCATATTAGTCCTATGCAGTAAGTCTTTGATGTATTTGGACTGTGTGAGAAGCAAAGATTGAGAAGCAGTCTTGGTGACTTGAATACCAAGAAAGTAGTCCAGATCACCCAAATGCTTGAGAGAAAAGGAAACATTAAGCTTGGTGATGATAGACTGCAGTAAAGAGGAAGAGCTGCCAGTAATAATAATGTCATCTACATAGACAAGTAGATAGACAGTATGGCCTCCTTCAAAATAAGTGAAGAGTGAAGGATCACACTTACTAGGATGAAACTTAAGCTGCACAAGAGCTGTTTGAAGTCTCTCAAACCATTGCCTAGGGGCTTGTTTGAGGCCATAGATTGCTTTATTCAATCTGCACACCAATGAAGAGTCAGAGTGCTCAAAGCCTTGAGGCTGAACCATATAAACTTCTTCATCAAGTAATCCATTGAGGAAAGCATTGTTGACATCCAGCTGTTGTATGGACCAGTTGTAGGTAAGAGCAATAGACAGAATAATCCTGATTGTAATGGGTTTAACAACTGGAGAAAATGTCTCATTAAAATCAAACCCTTCCCTTTGATGGAAACCTTTTGCAACAAGTCTTGCTTTATACTTATTAATGGAGCCATCAGGGTTTTCCTTGACACGAAATACCCACTTGCTGCCAATAGCTTGCCTATGAGGTGGCAGAGGTACAAGAGTCCAAGTGTTGTTGGAAATTAGGGCATTATACTCTGCTTGCATAGCGGCCAGCCACTGAGCACTAGCAAGAGCCTGTTTTACTGACTTAGGTTCAGCAACTGTCAATAAAACCCTAGGTTCCAGTCTAGGTTGTCTGAAGCCAGCTTTGGCTCTTGTGGTCATGGAATGATGATTAATGGGAACAGCTGATACAGGTACTGCTTTGGGAGGAATGGTGACAGAATCTGGTGCTAAATTCTCATTTGTTTGACTGACAGACTGAGAAGAGGACTCATCAGTGGCAGTAGAGGTGGTGTGCTGAAGAGATTCAGAGGGAGCAGGGCTACCAGAAGATCCCACAGGAGAGGAATGAGTACCTGCAGCAGAATGAGAAGACACAGAAGATGTAGCAGAAGGAGGACTAGACTGACTATTAAAGGGCATTGTGGGAGCAGATGAAGGACCAACAGAAGGAGAAAGAATAGATGATGGAGTGGTGAAAATAGGTAAAGGAGAGAGAGAGACATGAGAAGAAGTATTAGGAGGCAGAATAGGTTTAGTGGTGGAGAATAAATCAAGGTAAGGAAACCTTGACTCATTAAACAAAACATCCTTAGAAATGTAGACTTTACCACATGGAGAGAGGCATCTATAGCCTTTGTGAGATGTTGAGTAGCCTAGAAACAGACATTCATGAGACCTGAAATTAAACTTATGAGTAGAATAGGGTCTTAGAAGAGGAAAACAAGCACTACCAAACACCTTGAGAAAGGAATAGTCAGGTTTGATCCCAAAGAGTAAGGAATAGGGCACCTGAGAACCAACAGAAGCTGAAGGGAGTCTATTGATCAAATAGACAGCAGTGGAGAAGGCAAAGTCCCAATAGGGCAGAGGCATAGATGCCTGACTTAGCAAGGTAAGTCCTGTATCCACTATATGTCTATGCTTTCTTTCAATCACACCATTTTGGTGATGAGTGTGAGGGCAGGCAACTCTGTGGACAATGCCCAGTTCTGAAAGAAGCTTATTAAATGGTCTGAATTCACCCCCCCAGTCAGATTGAAAAGCCTTAATGGAGCAGCCAAGTTGTAATTCAACCAGAACCTTAAATTGTTTAAAAATAGACAGTGCCTCAGCTTTAGATTTCAGAAAATAAATCCAAGTGAATTTGGAAAA